ACCAGATGCGGGTCAAATGTAACCTCCCTACACACACGAGCGTCCGAAGTCCCTGACCTAAAAGTGAACACGTTCACGGACAAATCCTGTCTTAGTCTTGGCCCGAAAATGCTGAGCAGAAGACTCATGGGCGTCAGCGCATCGCTCCCAGGCAACAGCACACTAGGAGTCCCCGTCAAGCCATCGGGAAAAAAGCAGCTGAAATACCTGAACAACAGCGAATTGATCAACGTGCAGAACAGCACCTGCAACTCCGTTGAGAACATCATCGGGGAGCAGCCCCCGTCGCTGCGCCGGGGCCGGAAGAGACGCTGCAAAACGAAGCACTTGGAGCACAACGGCTCTGTCAAAAGACTGAGGCACGCGGCAGGGGAGGTGGGCTTGCCTCCGGAGGATCGCTTGGTACGGGAGATGGAGCAGAAGCTCCAGCAAGAGGAGGAGGACAGGAGGTTGGCCCTGCATCTGCAGCGCATTTTCGACAGCGAGAACAGGACAGTGGATAGGCGGAAAGTCAGAGTCGATCGGTATCTGCTGCGGTCGAAGAGCACTCTGGGTGCTAAGTAGCACTGGTGGACGATGTTGCCTTTCTAGAGGACGATGAGGTTTATCAGATTATCTTATAGGAAAACTATTTTTTGTCATACTTCCACCCGCAACAATTGTTTTTTCATTTTGGTGGTAAGACATTTGTAGGTCCAGTTCAGAGAGAAGCCAGAGTCCTTTCAGATTAACAAAAAAAAAAAAAAGAGAGAGAAAAAAATCCTCCAGCTTTCTGGTCCATTGGTCTGAAGGAAGTGTCCGTCGTCCCCGTGAATACACTGCAACGCCTCTACATGCAGTTGGTGACATTTGGGTTCCCCGGCTGGGAGGGTTGTGTGAGCAGTACGTGGGGTACGGGATAAGGCCCTCGTCCGTTCCTTGCCTTGCCGCTTCGATATGCCAAGAGAAATCAGAGCTCTACTCACGGAAAGTAGGCTTTTTTCTGTTCTAGAAACAGTCTTCCCCTCTCTGTCTGCCCCGTTTTCTTCCTTACGCTGCAGCTGGCTGTGGTGGTCAGACTGTTACCGATGTCATAGAATCGTAGAATCATTAAGGTTGGAAGAGACCTCCAAGATGATCGAGTCCAACCATCGACCCAACACCCCCATGCCCACTAAACCATGTCCCTCAGCGCCTCATCTACCCGTCTTTTAAATACCTCCAGGGATGGTGACTCCACCACTTCCCTGGGCAGCCTGGTCCAATGCCTGACAACCCTTTCAGTAAAGATATTTTTCCTAATATCCAATCTAAACCTCCCCTGGCGCAACTTGAGGCCATTTCCTCTCGTCCTATCGCTTGTTACTTGGGAGAAGAGACCGACCCCCCCCTCGCTACAGCCTCCTTTCAGGTGGTTGTAGAGAGCCATGAGGTCTCCCCTCAGCCTCCTTTTCTCCAGGCTGAACAATGTCAGCGCGTTCGAATGACCTGACTTGAGGGCTGTTGGGGAGGGAGGCTGGTCCGTATTCCTGCTAGGAAGTACCAAACAGATCCACCCGTAGTACTTGTAAATGAATGTATCTCACTGTCTGCACCAGCAGTACAGATCGTAGGTTACTTTCTTTAAGTAGAAAGCCAAACGCAGCGAAGAAAGACATAAAATAAGGATTTTGCTGAAAAGCCTCATAGGAACTTGCACGTTCATGTTAGTGACGCAGCAGAGAGCTCGGGTAGAGCAGGTGGGAGCCGCGCTCTGGGTGCCGTGACCCAGGGAGCAAACGCAGCTTTTCTCCCGGTCCCTGCCTCTCCCGAGGCCAGAGGGTTTCACGTTCTTCCCACTAACATGGAAATCTAGAAACGCTGGCCGGGTGATTTCGGGAAGGACGTTCTCCTTGCTGACACGTACCCTGCAGGTACGTCTGGCTCAGTTGAGAGATCTCTCAGCACACCCAAGACCTGTCCTTACGTGTCCAAGAGCGGCCCGAGGAGGCATCCCGAGGTGTCTGACGCATCGCCCCTCCTCTCCCAGACACCCGATGGCTTGGCGGTAGAGCTGGGAGAGGAGCCCGGCCCTCCCGGCCCGCGGGCGCACAGGCGCGGGCGCTCGGGGCGATGCAAGCCTGCCCTGCCCCTGCTCCAAGCTGGCTGTCTTCGGGTTCGAACCACTAAGAAAGCTCAGGTGAGCGATGCACTAAAAATTTCCACTTAAAGGCGTGAAGTCGGGCACGGCAGGCTGGCTCGGAGCCTGGGCTCGGTGGAGCGTGTGTTGTCTGCCCAGATGTGGCCTTCGGTGGCGGCCCGCCCTCGGGGCTCTTGGCGTTTCTAACGCCCTTCCCCATCATCCGTTAACAGCGCAATAATTTTCGCCGGTTATTTCCAGTAATCGGGCTCCAAAAACATCAGCTCAACTTGATACTTGAAAGCTGCCTTGCAGAGTATTCACTGGGGACCCTCGGTGCCCGCAGGGACCTTCGTCCAGGGCGGAGGCTGCGGCGTTAACGATCTTGCTGACCCGTGTGCCAGATGACGAGGGGTATTTTCCGGATGGAACTTGAAGCACGGTGCTGGGGCAAACTTACCGTCACCCACGGCGTGCAGGGAGGACAGCCAGTGCTTTTAAACAGATGGATCTGATCTAAGAGAACGGTCGTTGCTCCATTTCCTCTACCTAAAAAATGGTTGAATTTCTCCCTCCGTCTTAAATGGTTAAAAAAAAACCGGGAACTGGTTTTCTTTCTCTCTCCCGGCATACTTGCGTAACTGCAAGGACCCTGGCGCTTTTTTCCTAATTGAACTGGATTTTTTTTTTTAAAAAAGAAATCTTATATTTTAATGGATAAAATTTATATATTTTAAATACTATATTTCAACAGATTGACACTTTTGTTTTGAGAAATCTTATAGCAATGATGCCGTAATATATATCTCTCTCTCTCTCTATCTCCTTAACACACAAACTACTGGATGTTTAAAGTCGTACCTAGGGCCGGCTAGACCTGGCCTGCTCTGCCTACCCGCTGCGGCTCGTGGGCGACGGCTTTCCGGCTTTCCGTGCCCTCCCACGCGCCGCAGCCTCGGCAGGTGCGGATTGAAGCAGGCGCTTTTGACCCGAACCGAATCCCGCTCCTGTGCCCGGCTGTGAATCGGAAGGAAATTAAACAATTGGAGCCTTGACCGGACCTAGAAGAGCAGCGCAGGGAGAAGTAGCGATGGCCTGGATCTGCCCTTTGCAGTGAAATAAGCTCAGGAGGGAAACCCACAGCTTCTACTCAGAATTCGTGCTGGTTTTCCCCAACGTTTTGAGCTAAAGCGTGCACTTCTCAAGCGCATCTGGATGCCTAATTATTTTTACAGACCCTCTTCTCCCTGCCCCTTCCCCACGGTTAATCCCTTGAGCCCGGATCAAACGTCCCTAAGCGGTTTCCTTCTTTCTCGCGACGCTTGTGTGGGTTTCAGCCAGGCTTGGGCTGCCGGGCGCTCTCTGAGCCAAGCCTACACCACAAAAAAATAGATTTACACGCTGAATGTATCCTTTCCTTCCCCTCTTAAAATAGATTTCGCAGTCCAACGCACCAGGCCAGTGTCTTAAATACCTTCTTTTTAAAAGATTACGTAAATATTTAGGGGTTTGTGTGTTAATTTCCTCTTTCTAAATCCGAGCTGGGCGGAAGTGCAGGAGGCAACGCCTGAGCTGGAGCTTGTCCCAGGCAAAAGGAGCTTAATGGGACCCCCTCGCGCCCCCGGCTTCCCAAACCTCGCCTTCACTGGGCAGCCGGCTCCCCCCGAAAGAGAGAGCCCACGTCCCGGCAGCGCCGCTCGGCTCCCTAAGCATCACGCACGGTCCACTGCGTCCGCGTTGAAGGAGACCTTTGGACGTGACGTCGCAGTCACGTCACGGAAGGGTTGCAGTCGCAGCAGCTTTCAGTAAAGCATCGGGGCGGGATCGACCTTTTCTCCGGAGGTTGTGTGCCCACGGGTTTTTAGTCCGATGAAGCTGCTGGCTGCGTTTCTACGTTCGCTTCTCCGTCTCGTTGCTTAAGGACTGGGGGAAACGTGGGCCGTTCTCCAGCCGGCTGGCCTAGACCCTCTCGCCTTCTTCCTGAGCCAGCGAGAGCGCGACTGCCCTCGGCTGAAATCCACCCGAGGCGGTGTCGGGTTCGAGACTTGAGGCGATGGGAAGCTAGGATGAATGTTTTATTAATTTAACACTCTGTAAGTTTGTGTAAGCTTGCACAAAAGATAATTGTATATAATTACAGTTAAAAGAGCAGGAATTCCCAGCCTCCACCCTTCAAAGGTCGGGCATGACGCTACCTTTGCCACAAATAATGCCAGCTGAGAAGTAAAATACCTCTTGCCGAACGGTGGATGCAGCACAAGATCTGCAGAGGCTCTAAGATGAAACCAAGTATTTACTTACACGTACATGAAAGTCATTTCTAACCCTCCTCCTTCCTGCAGCCACCTCCTCTCCGGGATGACGGCAGTCCTTGCCGGCTGTGGGACAGCGCAGGCGGGCGAGCATCCTCCCAAAACGTGAAGCCGTCTTCTCTTGCGAGAAAAAAAAAACAACCAACCGCAACCCAGGTCAAGAGATTGCGCTGCGGGTAGCGCTGGAGGGGCTGGGGTCGGTTTGACGACAGAAGGACCGTGTCTGCCAAAGATGCCACCGACTCCGGAAAGTCGCTTGCTGACCCTCCGGAGCTCTCCGCCCGGGAAAAGCCGTACGGAGAGGTCCGTGCTTGGGGTCAGTGAGATCAGATAAATGAAGGAAAAGTGCCAAAAGACGGGGTCGTGCCAGATGATTGTATAATGTTGTTCTATATTGTCAGTATTTTTCTTCAAATGCTGTTGTACATGCAGTAGTCACGAAGCGTAGCTTGAACAAGCGCTTTGTATTTTCTCAATGAAAGCAAAGGGGGAGGTTGAAGCCTTAAAGACTAGCACTGATTTTAAAAACAAGCCTTTTAGCAATGCTCCGAGGACGGGACCCCAGGGCTCCGCCTGGACCCTCCCAACAGCCCCGTGCCATCTCCCAGTCGTCCGGCGAAAGGGTGACAAGGAGCTTGTCCCGTGCGCGGGGTGGGGGGGGAGTGTGGGGGGGGAAGCGTTTCACGAAAACCCAGCCCCTCTTGCCCGTTGGGGGACCCGAGGCGAAAACTTAACGGCC